TTAAACTCATTTTAAAAATTAATTGCTCCATCCAGACCATGGAATATTACTCATCAACAAAAAGACACGAATGAACCATTGTTATGCTCAGCAGGTTGGGTGTATCCCCAGTGAATTAGGCTACTGAAAAGTCCAGTCTCACAAAGTGGAGGCTTTGTGATCCTACTTATACAACACTCTTGAAGTGACAAAATTACAGAAATGGAGAAAAGATCACTGTTAGTGGTTGCCATGCCACAGGTTAGGGAGAGGGCACGGTAGGGAGGCCAGAGTGGCTATAAAAGGGCAACAGCGGGAACACTCGGTGGTAGAATATTCTGCATTTGACGGACAGCGTCCCCATCTGGCTGTGACACTGTGCTTTGGCCTACAGGACATCACCACTGGGGTAAGGGCGCACTCTGTTATTTTTTACAACTGCACGCCAGTCTGCAATCATCTCAGAATAAATGCTTCTGTAAGCGAACTGCCAACATGTAAAACCTAGGAAGGTCAGCTTTAGGTCTTTAAAAGTCAGAGAACAGGCAGTGCTCTTTTTACGTTTCTCCACGGTAACAGTCCCATGTCCCCACATTTACACCTGGTCCACTTCCAGCATCTGCATTACCTGGTGGACCCCCCATACCTTGAGCCCTGAATATTGGGTCTCTGTAAAATTCTGTTTGACAAAAGGGGCCCACTGTTAGCATATTTGAAAACCACTAGCAGTGTCCAAACTTCCTGAATACCAAGAGGAAGCCAAGGCCCAGAGACATCATGAATGCCAAAGCCACACGCAAACTCAGCATCAGAACCACGCCCCAAGTGCCGAGGTCAGGAGAAGGCTGAGGACAGCATGGACAGAGGCCCGAGGCCGGGCCCACACAACCCTGGAGCCCGTCCCAGAGAGCCCACCCAGGACACACATGCAGCCACACGCTGTCCAGACAGGCCTGCAGCCTTTGCCAGTGACAGACAGGGACAGTTCTGGAGCGCGTCAAGTCCAGTGAGCCTGTTCTGCTTGGAGCTGTTTGAAAATTCATGGCCAGCCAGAGAGAAGGGTGAAAAGAAGGAAGAAGAGAGAGGGGAAGAGAGAAAGAAAGGGAGAGGTCCTGGGGCACCAGTAGTGCTGCTCAGAGGTCACCTAGGGCTGTCCTGGCCTCTCCAGTTGTGGTTTTCAAACTTGCTAAGCTGGCAGAACACCGAGGACAAATACATCCACAAAATGCAGGTAATTTGTGTTACCAATGGCTGCCCACTGCTTCTCGTGAGGGTTCCCTTTGAGGGAGGGCCCTGAGCCATGTGGCACCATGAAAGTGGGCCTGGGGGACAGAGCTGAATGTGCGCAGGGAGGGAGAGGACATTGCAGGGGGGAGAGGAGAGCTAGTGAGTCCCTGCTCTGTTGGAAGGCGGGCAGGTAAGGAGAGGAAAAAGAACCTTGGATGGTGGCCCAATGGAGAAGGGCTTTGGGGGAGAGTTATGTTGTTTGTGGAGGGGTGTGCAAGGCAACCCTCACCTTCAACTCCTCTGTGAACTCGTCACTAAAATCAACCTTGTTCCTTAACTCTTGGGGACTCGGAGAGATGAAAGTTCTTTATCTAGGTGAGCCTGAGGTAAACACAGAGACTGTACTTGCAGATAGTTGCGCCACAGGGTGACGGCCAGGGGATCCCTGGGCTACACCCCGGGGTCCTCTGATTCCTCACAGATTCAAGCCCTGCCTGGAAAGAAGCCCTGTCAAGGCTGCCTTGCATGGGCCTGGCCTTCCAAGCCGTCAGGGCCCAGGCATGCCTTCCCAAGTCAGAGGAAAGCTGGGCGGCTTCTCTGAGAGAGAGAGGCTCAGCTTTTGGATGGAGGCTCTATTTGTGCTCTGCTGTTTCTGAGGAGCTGGAGCCTCTGCATTGCCTGCACCCACCAGAGCAGGCCCGTGAGAAAGCCCGCGGGAGGCGAGTGTTTAAGCCCACCTGGGCAGTTTGCTAAGGTGCTGGGTCTTTCCTGGGGTAGGAGCCAGATCCACGGCTGATAGCTGGGCTGTTCAGGGGCCCACCCTGCCTCAGCTGTAAAGATAGGGTCCCTGGGGATTAGACTCTGCCTTGAGCTGGCTAGCAGGTGAGCACTGGAGCCTCAGGGGGAAGCTGCCTGCCACCAGGTACCAACAACACTATCAGAGCATCAGAGGAGAGGAAGGCAGGACCCAGAGGAGAAGGGAGTAGGGGGCAGGGTTGTGAGCTGCTCTGGGATTCTGTGGGAGGCAGGCCCCGGAGGCCTAGGGGAGACAGGTGAAGGGAGAGTTTGCAGGGTCCTCTGGCATGCAGGCTCACACTTGCCCTTGAGCGGCCAGTGCTGCCTGGTTCAGAACCCTGACTCCACCCCCAGGCACTGCTGCCAGCACTGCCACCACGCAGCACCAGGAGGTGGAGCGCCCCTGCACACATAAAGCCTGTGGAGGCTGCCAGGCCCCCAGCGCCTGGCACTCGGGCCTGCTAGAGTAAGGGACTCAGAGTGAAGGCCCTGGGGAGGCAGCCTGGCTGTGAGCACAGCTGGACTGGGAGGAGACAGACAAGGCTGTGGCTGCCTTCAGCCAACAGATGGGTCAGCAGGGACTAGGGGTGCAACTTCTGACTTGGGAGTAGGGACAGATGGAAGTGGGGCTCAGCCCCCTTGGGAGCAAGACCCCTCACCAGCCTGGACCCAGGCTGGGGACAAGCATGCTCGCTTCTGCTCAGATGACCACTGGGGTGAGCCCAGGACCCCACCTGTGACCAGTAGCCACAGTCACTAGGTTGGGCTTTAGTCACAGACAGAGTTGGACTGCTGCAGCCACTGCACCTCGAGCCCCCAGGTCCTCAGGCCCCCCTCCTGCGGCCACGGGGAGGATGGGCATTTTGGGGGAGGCTATGAGGACAACCCTCCAGAAATTAAAGTCAAGAAAAGACATTGGAGCAGAAGGCTTATGCCCCTCTAGTCCCAGTCAGAATCCTTGCTGGGCGCCCCAGAGCCTTCACTGCACAGCCACAGATCCCAGAGGGAGGGACTGGTGGTGGCACAGTGCCTGTGGGGGGAAGCTGCTTTCTTGGGTGGGGGCCTGAGACTGAGGGAGACAGCAGGCTGGAGCATCCTCTTTGGCCTTCCTTCCAGATTTCCCTACAACAAAACCCTACAGTAGCTGGGAGAGGCTTTCAGATCTGCAGCACTGTTCCCAAGATTCTGGTCCCTTGCCTTCTGCTGGAGGCCAAGCAAGCTAGTGGGGGCTTTGGCCGGGGGGAGGGACTAACCCCCCACTTATCTACAGGAGCAGGCAGGACAGGCCCAAGGGGTGCTTCTGAAAGCCAGGGAGGGAGGCCAACGGGGAGGCCTGGGGAACCACCCTACGTCCACCTGTACCTTCCCGCTTCCTAAGGAGCAAGCTTAGAGTCACCTGCCAGATTAACACAAAGAGACAAGAAGTGCACCAGAGGGGGTGGCAGGGGCCAGGAAGGCAGGTTTGTCTTATGGGAGGGAGAGCAACCCCCTGCTGGCTTCTTGTTGAAAGGAACTGGGGACTTTGAAGCTGTTTGTTTGCTGTGTGTGGTGGTTGGGGGCGGGGAGAGAGGGAGCTATAAAGCTCCTGTCAAGTCTTGGGTGAGGCTGCAGTGTTCTCTGGAGCATCTATGTGGGTGGCTTCAAAGGAGAGGTGGAACAAAGGGAAAGAGCACACAGGAGCAGTGGGACATAATACAGGGTGAGCTGACAGCTCAGTCACACTTAGAATAGCTAGAGACCGGCCCTGGTGAGGTGGCTCAGTTGGTTCAAGCATCGTACTGATACACTAAGGTTGTGGGTTCGATCTCCAGTTAGGGCACATACAAGAATCAACAGTTGAATGCATTTAAATACCTGGAACAACATTTCTCTCTCTCTCTCTCAAACCAATAAATAAAAATTTAAAAAATATAGCTAGATGCCAACTTTTGAGCTAAATCAAACATCATCTCATTTCAGGCGCACATAGACACAGTGCAGGCACTGACAGGTTAAGAACTGTTATTGGAGCTGCCTGCTGTTGTTAGCAGGCCTGCAAGGACCACCTTTAGGCTTGGAAGCCCCAGCCAAAGAGTGGGAGCAATTTGGATTGGTTCAAAAAGAAAATCCACGTCAACTCTAGCTGACCCCAGAGTTCTACTCTCCACACCGTCCTGTGGCCATGACACACAGGTTAGCAAGAAAGCTTGGCCCAGAGTGAGCCCAGCCTCCCACAGAGGCCACCACGGATGCACTGGGACTCTCCCAGGAAGAACATGCAGGAGACAGTTGCCTCCAAAGTACAGTACAGCACAGCCACCCTGGGCTCCGTGCCACAGCATGGAAGGCCCTAGTGGGTTCCAGTGGGTCTCCGGACAGCGTGCCCCCATGCCGTGGTCCATGAGCACCTGACAGACAGGCCACGGGGGGCAGGTTAGTGGCTGTGGCCTCAGGCCTGCTGGTGTTTCAGAAACCATACCTTGACCTTGAGACACTAGTCCTGCACAAGCCCCTCCTCATGCCCAGGGCTTGTCCTCCCTGCAGCAGCTGTCCTTTGAGCAATTTATGGAACTAATAACTCAACATCTGGCCAGGTGAATCCAGGGATCGGGACCCGTGCTCAGCACAGCCCTCCTGGTAGCTGCTCCCAGAGCCTAGCCTCCAGACTCACAGGGTGCGCAGGCAAGGCAGCTGGCCGGCGCCCTCACAGGGAAAGATGCTCTCATTCTCAACAGCCCAGCAAAGGCCAAAGCAGCCCTGCCCCCTGCCCACAGACAGAGCCAGGAGAGCCCAGAGTCCTCACCCTTGTAGCCTGGACCCGGGGGATAGAGACTCATCTCCTGCACCCACCTCACTGACCTGGGACAAATGCCCCACTCCAGCATCTGCTAAAGCCCCTTAGGGGCCAGGAGTTTCCAAGTACATGAACTTGAGAGGTTCCTTCCATGAGTTATGTCAACCTGGGGCTGCCGGGGAGCGGGGGCTGAGGGGCAGGCGGCAGAGCCTGGGCCAGCACTCACCTGGACCTTCGCAGGGCTTCTTCATCGGGGTCTTGCACTGTGGGGAGAAGGTTGCTGGTCAGGAAGAATCACAGGGAGCATGAGGAAGAAAAGCCACTAGGGCTCTGTGGGCACTGAGTCGCTACCAGTGACTGGACAGCAACCGCTCCCTAGCCTGCAAACTAGGAAGGGAAATGCTGTGTGCTGGGCAGAGGGCAGGAGGAGAGAGGGAGGAGAGGAACCGGTGTGGCTTGCACGGTCCTCCTGTCCCTGCTCTGAGCAGTGATTCCTCCTGGAAACACCATGCAGATCTGCTGCCCACTATTTGGCTGGGAGCTGAGAAGAAGGGGCTCCACAGGCCGCTACTCATTTATCCAGGCCAGCTCACCTTCGACGGGTCAGGGGGCTTGATCCCTGGTTCTGTGGGCTGTGGAGTAGGACCCAGGACCCCTGTGGCCCCTCAGCATCCCCCCTTCTGCCCCACACCCTCAGCCCTCACTCACTGTATTCTGTCCCTGTCATCTGGGCCAGGATGCGGAAGGAGCGAGACTGAAGGTTGGAGGAGCGGCGGGCCCACTCCTCAGCCTCATCTTCAGGCTTGTTCTGGTTCTTAATCACAGCCTGATACACGGGAGAGGCGCTGTCCACAGCGAGGTCTTTAACAGGAAGGCTCCTGCAATTCAGAAGGAGGCGTGGGCGAGGCGAGGCTGGAGCCCTGCTCCCCACCCCTTACGGTCCCCCCGCACTGTGTCCCGGCACCCTTTGCACCCCCTGGTAGCCCCTACTTGTCTGAACCCACCATACCCTTTACCCGCGGCCATCTGAGAGCCTGGGACAAGGGTTGGCTGGGTCCTCAGTGCTCAGGGCGGTCACATTTAGACGGTAATTCCTCTCATGGAGGGTCAGGAGGCTCAGATCCCTCTGGCCAACACCCCTCCCCATGCAAGCTGCAGACACAGACCTGAAGACATCCCCACCTCAGGGGCCAAATCTCCTTCAAGAAGATTGGAGGCAAAAGACATCTTCTTGAAGTAATTCCCACCTCCCTGCCAGGCCCTGAGTTTGGGGCTAAGTGAAGACAAGCCATTCGGGGACCCAAAGGCTTCCTCCTCACAGCTTTGGATCCAAACAGGAAGCCACCAATGCTGGGAATGCCTCAGCCAAAGACTGAAGGCTCCAGCTCAGCTACAAACAGGCAGGCACAGCAGGGAGGGGGTGAGTGGGGGTGAGAAGCAGCAACAGGCCATGTGGTTGGGGAATCACCTGCAGACAGGGGGATCTGGCTTGGGGGAGCTGGGAGTGGAGCTGCAGGAGGGCCGCTAATCTTCTGCCTCAGTCTATTGAGGGGAACCTGGTAACCTTCCCTTCCCTTACACTCCCAGGGTCTGGCACATAGTAGGTGCTCAAAACGTAGTTGAATAAATTAATCCTATATCAGAGCCAAAAGAGCCCCCAGAGCTGCTTGGGTTCAGTGTCTCCCAGCCTGGACCAGACTGCAGGGCAGGATATATCGAAAACTTTATGGGTGCCCACTCACCCTGGCCAGTAAGGGCTAGAGGAGGCAGGCTGCCCAGCCCCCCTGTCATGGACTCAGGTGGAATTCACAGTAATAACAGCCTGCCTTCCCAGCCAGGAGCCAGCCAGGTACTTACTGATGCCGAAACTGAGATCCAGAGAAAGACTAGCTCCCGCTTATAGCACATAGGGGCCCAATAGAGTTAGAACCCAGGCTTCCAGGCCCCCAGGCCCATCAGACCCTCTGTAATGACAAGGGCTTAGGAAGGCCACTTCTGCCCACTGAGCCTTGTACTCCCCAGATGCTTTATTCCTAAAAATAGCCCAGCCCAGACACTTGCCCTGCCCTGCATCCCCTGCCTGCCTCTATGGCTGCCTCTACCTGCACCCCCAAGGGCCAGCTGGCTGGGAGGGGCTTCCCCAGTACCCATGTCTTCTACCCTCTCTGCAAGGAGCTATCCAACACAGGCCTAGTCTCCCAGGAGAAGTATCTCAGGATCGGTGCCCTGTAGCTGGCTCAGGGTGGGCTACAGCAAAGGCAAAGACAGGTGACAAAAGGTGACTAAGACTGGGTGGAGCTGCCCCTACTTCCCCAAAGGCTGTGCCCTGGCCCAGGAGCTACAGGTAACAGCCTGTAGTTGAGATCCCCTGGGGAAGACCTGTGAATTCTCAGGGGTCCAGGCAGGGGGGAGCCTGGGGCTGTCCAGGAACAGAGAAGTGGGTGGGATCTTGCTGAGAATGCCATTTCCAGCAGAGGGAGGTGCCCCAAGGCTTCTCAAAGCAGAGGCTGGGCCTACCGTCTTTGGGTGAGATGGGCAATAGGAAGGCACAATCAGGATGCCTTGTTCTGCTCAGAGGAAGTGTGGACTGGCCGCGGGCCAGGGAAGGTACAGCCCCAAGCCCAGGCCCTGTCTTAAGCCTGCCTACATTGAGCTCTGTGGTCCAGAAAGCAGACAGAAGTGTCTGCTGCCATTTGCCTGGAGCTTGCCCTTCAGGTGCTACCCTGTCCTTCCAGGGCTCCTAGGGTGCCAGAGGCTGCCAGGCACAAATCCCCTGGATTTGACATTGTTGGCTCATTTCCTACCACACTGCAAAGATCAGAGACTGGTGCTGCTGCAACAGAGATTGGGAGTCCAGTGAAGGAACTGCTGAGCCTTTTTACAACTCTGGGGCTCAGGGAGAATATATACACAGAGAGAGTGGAACAGGCCCCCATCCTGGGGACCCTGGGTCGGAGGCCGTTCTCTGGAGCTCCTCCCAGCATGATCTTCTTGCCACTAAAACACTCTATAATCACCGCAAATCAAGGTCACCTGGGGTATTTACCCCATTACACTGCCCTTAAATATGACTCCTTTGTCTCCCTTGAGTGGTCTTGGCAAGCGCTGGCTCCTTTAGGTCCATGTTCCATGAGGATTCTGGGGAGTGGCCTCTAAGTGGCCCCCTTATCACCCTCTGCCCTGAGTAATGGCCCAGTGTGGATGCTGAGTTCAGGTCTACGATGTCTCAGTGCAGACAGGAAAGGTTGGGTGAACCCCACAAAGTATGGCAAAGAGAACGCAGAGACCCTCAGCCTTGGGGGCCAGCATGAATGTTTTTACTCTCATCTGTGTCCATAGTGACATTCTTTGAAGCAAATCCCCAAAGACAAGCCTGTACAGGGTGCAGGGCGTGTCCTGTGGCTGTGAGGTGGGTATGGGGAAGAACACAGACTGAGGCACTGTCCTCAGACACGCCCCTCTGAACCCACACACTATCCCACAACCAGACAGACAATGGAACAGACACTGTGGGGTCTTACTTACGCCAGTGGCGACACCCTGCCAAGCAGAGGGAAGCCCAGCAGTGAGCGTGTGTCCATCAAGGGATGGCAGAGGGGCGGCGCACACACGAGGGAGCAGGGTTAGGATCAGAAAAGAGTTATGGGAGTGGGGTGGATAGAGGAGGAAGAAAGAGAGACAAAAAGAAAACTGTCAGTGAGGAAGGAGTCTCAGAAATAACAGCAGAAACAGAGCGGCTTCCAGCAGAGGGGCAGCTCTTCCCGTCACCACGGCAGCACCAGCCCGGCAGGGCTGTTAGAAGGACGGGGAGAGCATGTTGCTTCCCAGGCACACAGGGAAGGGGAAGGGAGGGCCGGCGAGAGGGAGATGGGAAGGTCCTTCCAGAAGACTAGATAAGATCCAGAAGACTATTCCTTCCAGAAGACTAGGTACATCAGGTTAAAAAAGAAAATCACGGGTGCCCTAGTGGTAAAGCAATCACAGCATTCTTTCCCCGTGGTGCAGAAGGTCGTCCTTCTGAAGGGCCTTCTTCCTTCATCTTCACTGAACTTCCCTTTAGTGATGTGACCACCTTTAGGAGCACCTCAAGGACACACCTGCCACCTTTTGTGGAAAACAAACGTTAACAGGAAATCCCTGTTATCTCTTCAGCTTAGCTGGGCAGTTTTGTTTTTCTGGGTACACATGAGATAATGGCTGTTTTTAAACTTGCATCGTCACAGTTTCTGCTTCGAACAATGGAATTAAATCAGCACTGCCTAGAGTTCTGCCTGAGCCTGGCCAGTTGAGCCCCACAGCTCCAGGGCAAGCAGCCTCCCTCCCCTGGTGGCCCAAAGGCAGCACTGCCTGCCTAAGAGGCCAGGCTCCCTTGGGACCAGGAGTCCATGCGATCTTCCTTTGGCTTCTGGAGCCTTCCCCTTTTAGCCTGCACTGACTTTATGGCTGGGTTCTGGGAGGGTCAAACACTATTGGAGTTTCCTGGGACTTTTGACCCCTTTATTCCTCTTACACACCTGTTTTTCTTAGTTTCAGAAAAAAGTACTACATCACTTTAAGATTTTTTTGCCTTGAGTTGCTGGGGATACTGACTTAGGGATAAGATGTTGGCCAAAGAGATAATCAGTCAGTTCTGAAAGTCAATGCTAATGCTACTCCCAGGTAGAAAACAGTCAGAGATAGCGTGCGCGTGCGCCGTGTGGGAGACACGCGAAAGGAAGAGTGAGACAAGAGAAAGACAGAGACAGAGAATAAAAAGTGAAAGAGACAGAGGCACACACAGAGAGAGACACAGAGAAAGACAGAGAGATACAGAGAAAGAGAAACTAAGGGAGACTGAGAGAAAGGCAAACAGTAAGGGACCCCCATTAATGTTTTCACTATTAGCAGCTTCACCTACAAATGATTTTCAACCAACTCTTTCCCTATTTAGCCTTCAAGTTCCTCAACCATTGATAACAGGCAAATTCCAGGAGCCCAGGATTCCTCAGTCCCACTGCCCTGAGGCCAGGCTGCCCCGGGGCACATAGGAGGAGGCAGGTGCCCAGTCCTGGTGCTCCCCAGCTCCGCAGCGGGGAGGCTGCCACAGCACCTGGATGGTTTGCCCAGAGGCCCTTCCTACGCAAGAAGCCCAGCCACATAGTTGAACCGCTCTCATCTTTGGAAGAACGCAGCAACTTCCCTCCAGAGAAAGGCTCCGTTACGAGAAGCCTGGGGTATCCAGAGTAAGAATGCCGCTCTGGTTAACAAGATTCCGAAAGTCTCTTTCTAAACCAGTCCCCCGGGCCAGGGCCAGGGAAATGCAGAGGCTGTGACAAGCACCTGGAGGAACCATACATTCTGCACTTCTCCACCCTTCTCCCAAAGCTGACCCGGAGATTAATTCTGGAGAGAGAGCACTGTGCTCTGGGCTGCCTGGGCCGAGGCTGCCTCCCCTCCAGGGGCTGTGCCCTGGGAGTCCCAAGGCAGGGAGGAAAGCTGGTCCTGAAGCCTAAAGTCTCTGATGGTGCCCAGCAACCTGGGCCCTCCACCTTGGTGGGGCGGGCGCGGCCCAGCCAGTGGCTGAGGTGGTGAGCGTGGCAACTGCGGAGGAGGGGCGGCGCTTACCCACTGAAGTCACTGCCCTGGGCCTGGGCCTGCCCAGCAATGGCATCCATGATGGCGTCCTGGGAGTACATGCTGATGGGCGTGTTGTACTGCGCGTGGATGATGGTGGCCTTGCCGCCCAGCCCCTTCACCTCGATGGGCTTGTGGGTGGACAGGGCTGAGTCCTTCAGGGCGTTGGGGTTGAAGCGCTCCTGGTAGTCAGCACTGG